AGGTCCTAGCAGGGGGCAGGGCCGGCTGAGAGGGAGACAGCCCCACACAGCCCTGCTGCTGGAGCACTCCTCCTTCCACCCAGCAGACAGCGTCACCTCCTGGGGGCCGGGGGCAGGGCTTGGGAGAGTGGGTCCCTGGGGGAGTTCATGGGGCAGCTCTGGGGAGAGGGGGTGGGGGGCGCTGGGCAGTGGGCAGACGGGGTGCTGGTTGGCAGGGCACCTAAAAGTTAAAAGTGGTGGGGTTCTCCCGCCACCCATGGCAGTTAAGAGCTTCCGGGCAGCAGGGGTACCCTGCAGCTCCTGGCTGCCTCCTGGTGATGGGGACACTGGAGCTCCAAGCTGGTGGGGGGGGATGACCACAAAGCCCCTGTGCCTAGGGGCGCCCTAAGTATAAATCCAGCCCTCACAATGGGGGCTCCTGGTCTTTGTTGCTAATACACACAAAAAAGACCCAGTTGCCCTGGCCAATAAGTCCAATTCCCAACTGGAACCAGGTACAAATATTAGCAGAGATCCAAGCTCGGGCTGATTTACCAGAGCACCAGGTTTCGGCATTTTTAATTCCACCATCGGCAGGGCACTGACTGGCCATTGGCCCAGGATTGGCAGGACGGGGGCGGCTGGGGGTGTGTGCAGCTGAGTGGCGGTTACCATCTGCCCATGGTGCCTTACCCTGTCTCTGCCTTCCAGGGCTCTGCATCGCCCTGTGCCTGGGGGGCACCGTGGCCCAGAATAACGGCGTACAAGGTAAGGCTGACTCCTCCTGGCTAACCTTCCCCAGCGCTCCCGGCTGCCTGGGATCTCCGGCCTCCGCCCCCTCCCGTCCCTTTCCCTTGTGGGAGGAGAGCAGAGTCAGGGGTCTGGCGAGCCGGAAGCAGCCCCTTGGTGTGGGCATCTTGGGGTGAGTTTATAGAGCAGGGTGGGTGCATGCAGGGGAGAGGAGAAGGCCCCTGTGTAGCCCTCCCCTTCCCTTCCCAGCCTCATGGCCAGCAGAGAATAGACACTGGGGCCCAGGGCTCTACACTGGGGGCTGGAGTGAGGGGCAGATCCCCTTTGTAGGCAAGGGCCCTGTTATTGACCAGCCCGAATCAAACCCCAGATGGCTCAGACGTTAGAAGTGGCATTTATAGACGGCCCCCTCCCCAAAATCAGGCTGACCTGAAACCTGGGACCCACGTGCCCAGCTGGGAGAGGGGAGTTTGGGATCAGGACTCTGCACCCAGAGCCCAGCTCTGCTGCGAATCCCAAGATGGGGCAAATTCCCATTGACCCACTGGGGTCCCCCAGTGCTGCACCCACCCTGCTCCGTCTGCTCCCATCCCAAGCCCTGCAGCCGGCTAAGCTGTGCTGGGATCCTTCCCCTCACACTGGCCAGAGGGACGGGTCCCAGCGGAGCCCCAGACTCCGGGCAGCTAAAGGATCCAGGAGCCCCCGTAGGCAGGTCACAGTCTGGGTCATGGGAGGCAGCTCAGGATCCAAACTAGCCTCGTGCCCAACTCCGCTCTCAGTCAATCCAGAGCAGAGCCGGGCAGGAACTTCCCAAGGAACCATTTTTTGCCAGATAATTCCGACTCGGTTCAGAGGAATGTTTGGTTTTACTTGGGAAAAAATTGCGTGGGCGGGGGCAGGGAGAGTGGAGATGAAATAATTTTTAAAACGAACAATTCCCGTTTTCCGGTTCTAAGCGAAGTTTGGGTTTGACATTGACGCTAATGAGAGTAACGACGACAGCAACAAAAAGGAGAAAAATCGGGTGAGATGGAAAACGTTTCACTTGCACCGACGCCCGGCTCCGGCGGCTCTGCCTGTCTGTGCCGGGGGCTCCCCGGGGAGCCAAGGCCCCTGTGCAGCCGAGGGCAGCTTGTTGCCAGGCGGTGGATGGCATCGGAGCTGTTTGCCAGGCGCCGAGGGCCAAAAATCAGCGAATGGGGCATGTGAAAGCAGTTGATCCCACTGTCTGTGTCTGGGGGCGGGGGGGAGAGCTGCTCTGCACTGGCTGACCCTGCCCAGCTGTTCCCGCCCCTGCAGGTACCACTGAGGACTGCAACAACCATATGCTATGCCCAGCAAACGCCAAGTGTGTGAACAACACCCACTGCACCTGCCTGGATGGATACCAGTCACATGGGAATCACCCCGTCTTCTTCACCGACCCAACGGAGATCTGTGATGGTAACGGGGCTCCCACGTTGTCCGGGGGGGGCTGGGACAGAGCAGGGCATTAAGGGCCGGAGCAGCCAACTCCACTGACTGCAGGGCCTGTTGGGGGGCTCAGCCCGGCTGGGAATGGGGGGGGGCAGCAGCACGGGTGAGCGCCGCCCTCCTGGGGATCGAACCGGGGGCTCCAGAGTGAGCAGCAGGAGCAGCTGCAGCAGGAGCCAGGAGCGTTGGGCTCTGTGGATTGGGCACAGAGTGGGGGGGGGCCCATCACACTGACCCGTCTGTATCCCAGCCTGAGCCCAAATCAGCCCCTGGGTGCCCTGGGGCAGAGGAGCCCCACGGGAGCAGAATGGGGCAGCCCTGGCTATACTTCCCACCCCCCAGCCTGCAGGGATCCAAGGAGGGAGGGGGAAGAGGAGAGGCAGCTTGTCACCCCCCCAA